TGTATATATGTTCCTCTTGCCCTGCTGTATATGGTATTATAGTACCTTTGATGTAACTGGTTGTATTTTCAGTGATCTCAGCAATGGAGCCTTAATGGTCCCCAGTGAATTCTCAGGGACCCCTTCTCTGTGTCTCTATGTCCCTTGTAGACAGCCTAGATTCCCGCCTGAGTTCAAGCTCTGTAAAATCGTCATTCCTGTTGCACCATTGAGAACGGTTTCTATAAAATACCTTGGTCATCCTGTCTGATACCAGTAATGCGATATTGGCAGTAGGATGTAGACGAGGAGGATCCAGGTGACTGGACAAAGGATAGGGTGTTGGGGGCTGTCCTGTTGGAGTGCGGACCCTGGGGGACGCTACCCCGTGCAACGTTCCACTGGGTTTTTCTCTGCCAGCATGGGCTGAATCACCTCAAACCTGGTGCATTTTTGTGGCGTGTTTCATCACATAAGTAATTTGTGTGGCTGGCGAATTCACGCTGAGCCACTTCTGTACCGTCTGGTAACCATTTGATGTAGACTGAGTCTAATGTTTTTCTTATAATGATATATTGTTTTTGAAGTAGAAGCCTTACTAATAGGAAGAAAAGCCCCTGTATTACTCCTTGTACTTTTCAGTGACTGAAAATTCTGCTAATCAGTTTGGAATGAATAGTATCACCCCTTCATCTGCTTAGTAACTCTTTCTATTAGAAGCAGTATATGCTTCCATGTGCTATATATATATTGTACCTGGATACATAGAGAGACAATGGTAAATACAACCAATACCGTATCTTCCACTTACTAGCTGTATAATACTTGTGCATGACATCTTTACAGAGGAAAGTATTTTATTCTTTACTCCATAGAGCTTACCAGTGTTATTAGACTTAATACAACAAATACAATGCACAGAAGGCTGTAATATCGATAATGTTGAAAATTATACTGTGCTTGCTGTTTGTCACTTTCTTCTTGGAACTGTACAGTAAGTCTGGAAATTTGTGTACTCTGAAATGTTCAAAAGAAGTCTGAAGATGGTGGGCACAGATGAATTCTATTTGATTCTTCACAAAATCTCAACAAAAATCAGTTGGTAACTATCTGTAGTTTGTATTAACCAATCTGTACAGAGAAACTCAGATCAGGAATTTAAAGCTGAGCCAAAAGTATTATTCTTGCACAATGTTCCGTTCAGTAGTCATTGAGAAGGCTAGGAGGAGATAAGAGGGAAGGCTATTTGTAACATGCTTCCCTCCCCCTTTTTTTCTTGTACTTTATTGAAAAGACCTGCCAGTTTGACAAATACCATCAGCAAGAAAGAAATTATTATATCTTCAACCCTCAAGGGTTCTTATCTCAAAACTGGACTTGATTATGCGTTCATGGTTTTCTTTCAGCATTAAATCCCACTTCTCCTTAAATAAATTTCTAAATACAGGAAATACTATATATTTGTATATATGTTTGTAAAAATAATAAAAAAAAGCAACAACTTTCCAAGATCAGATGATAGTTTAGTTTGGGGTTTTTAAAAATTGTTTCTTTTACCATCAGAGGCATATGAGCTCAAACATGCTGTTTCTGGTAATGTGCAATGACTTACAGCAGCAAGAACTTGATTTTAAAGTATAACAGCAAGATTTTGCTGGTCAGTTGTAGTGTTAAGATGTTTGCTTTTTATAGCTTTTAAAATGGAAATACTTTCTTGAAATAGAAATTGAATGAATGAGTATTGATCACTTACTGCTGATAAATAATACTGCTTAGTCTGAATTTCATACACCAAGGAGCAATCAAATGCCAGTGTTGTGCTGAGATATGGGGAATACACAACTTTTATGTTAGTACTACTCCTACCTTCATCTGAAACTCGTGATCATAAGTTATTAATTGGTGCCCTAGTTATGTGATGTCTTCTCTTGAAACTGTTTCAGGAACAAAATCTCTCTGGCATGTATGTACTTTCACCATGCCATTTAGGCAGAGGAAATAAAAAAAAAAAGAACAATTGTGAAAGATTAAGTGTATTAATAATACCATGACTTTATGATAATATAATGTTAACAATGATAGTGACAGAAGGTAGAAGTTGAGAAAGAGGCAAGATTTTTGAGGATGCATTGGTCCTGTAAGACAGCGGATTAAAATTACTGTACTTTCTTTTTCTTCAAACTAGTAAATTCATTACGAGTCTACCATCTGATGTTGAAATTATTGCTGTTTGGACCCACCTGTGTTACTCTAGTAATAATGTGCTTGTAGTTTCCATTTCATATTTCTAAAAAGATGTAATTGGTTTATCTATCACAGCCACAGTCTCACTCTGACTCTCTTTGCGGGCTGAGGCTGTGATTCCGTCGAAGCCTAGTCAATGTGTATTACTGCAGTTTTGCCGTCGTGCTCCCTCTCGCGTGCCGAGTCCACCCTTGGGTGACCTTGCACCAGGCTGTTTCAGCATGGTATGCAAACAGGGCATAAGTGGACAAAGTGGATTTTCTGCATTAGAAGTGCCAGAACAGCAGCACTAGCAGAGATGAACTGTTCTGACAGTGGGAACGGCAACAGGACCAGCATAGCCAGCAGTTAGAGTGTCTTAGGCTCTGTATGACACCAGCCTGGAGGACAATTTATCCCTCTTGGATTTCCTAACATGAATTTTTGTTGTTTTGTAAGCTGGGGAGGGAGGGAAGAGGGGTGTTTGGGTTTCTTTTTGATTTCTTATTTTTTATGTTAAGCAGACTTCCTTGAAATATGTGGTCTGATGGTGATATTCCTTTATTTTTTAATTACACATATAACTTGCATAAATTATTCCAAATTTTAAAATTAAGTAAGTATACCTTATTTAAATATGACTGTCATTGGAATTTTACAGGTAAATGAATTCAGCAATACTAGGTAAAAAAAATCAACCTACATAATAATCGCCTTAAGACCTTGGCAAAAGTTAAGTTTCAGATGTGCTCCTCATGGTCTTGCTGTATGCCAGCAACCTTTTCTGACTGCTGGTCTCGATATGACACTTCTACTTCTTTGTGGTACTAACTTTGTGCAGCTTCTACAGGCATGTATTCTATCCACTTTTGTATATTATGAAAAGTATGCTGAGCAAAGAGGGCTTTTTGTGTCGTAGAGTCCAAATTGATAGCTTTGCTACTGGTTTAAAAGGAAAAGCATCGTCTTGTTCTGAGTTCAAACTACGATAAGGCAAAATGCAAGTAAGTTTTCACTGAGAATATCTGAAAGGACAATGTAATTATAAAAGACCTAAATATATATATATGTGTGTGTGCGCGCGCATGTATAATTATATATCTAAGAATAAAACCACACTTTTATTTGGTTGAAATTAGAGACATCTCTCTCCCTTTAACACTTTTTCAACTTTGGATTTAATCCTTATCTTTGTATGTATATCAGATTTTTTTTTAAAATAGAAGACTGTAACCCTCTGTCTGATACAAAAGCTTTTCTGAAAGTTTACCCTACGTGCCTCTGAAATCTGATATGATGACAAATTCTAGAAATGCTTTGCCTGATCTATAGAAAAGTACTTTCTTTGCTCCCTTTTAAGGGGATTTCCTTTAAGTTTCAATCTCTAGATGCTCCCGATTTCTGTTAGTGGGATTTGAATATTTGAAGTCAGTACAGTTCAAGTAGGAAATAATGAAGAAGGGACTAATTGTTCTAAAGAAACTAAAATCCCAGTCAGGACAGAAATATGAAACCACAACAAAGCCACATTTGTAAATACTCCTACAGCAGTACAAAAAGAAATATGCTTGAATGGTTGATTTGAAGTGAAGATACTGGTACAATATTCATCTCAAATACTTGGTGAAAGGAAAATAACTAGTAGCATACTTAAATCAAGGTACCAAAAGTAAGACAATGAGATGGACTGCACAGCTGGAGGAGTGGTAGTTCATCTTAAAGCACTTATGAAAAATAGGGTTACTGTCGCAGACGTTCAATGAAAGACATGTGAATTGAAATCTTTTGGCTAGTTTGAGGGTGTGTAATATTAGGGCAATATTACTGATCACTTGATGACAATTATGCCAGTGGTGGTGTGGGTGTTGAAATGGGCTGTGAAGGCAGAGAACTGTATAATAAAGGGACACTTCTGCGAGTGTCCCCTGACCCTGATAAATGTAATGATAGATAAGTGTTTCTGACAGGTTCTTGGAGCACCTAGTCACCAAATGTATCTAAAAGGAGTAGCTATTGATTTATTCTCGAGCAATGCAAATATAGCTTCTCTGAACTAGTGACTGCAGTATGCTCAAATCCTGCAATTTCTAGAAGTGTAGAAGAATCTTTATGCATATTAATCCTTTCTCCAGAAAATCCATCAGTGATACATTTAAAAGAGGGATCTACCTAAAAATCCAAAGCCTACTTAAAAAGAAATGAAAAGAAGGACCAAAAATTACAAAATGGCATTAATGGAGTGTGTTTAAAGACTGATCGCATGTATATCACTGATCTGTAATATATATTGATAAATGCATATCACTGCAAATAAAGTCTCTAGGAAGACCCTATGAAGTCCCAATAAATAACATATTTAAACAGCAGAACAAAGCAGATTATTAGGAGTAGGAAAAAACAGCTTATTTTTCACCTAGTGATAACAGAAAAAAATGTCTGTCAAATCCTGTTGATTTTGAAGTACAATTTAAAAAAAAAAAAACCCTAGAAACTGATATTAAGAATAGTTTTAAGTATGTCAGTCAGATTTTATTTCAGAGTCCCTGAGACCAATAAGTGATGAAAGCATGTTAAGAACTTTTGAAGGTCATGAGGTGTAGATCATTTGTTTTTACAGTGGAGACAGTGGGAATTACTTGCACTGATTTCTCTGGGAAAGGAGGGTAAATAGGCAATAAAGTTCATTGATTTTTTAAAACATAAAGAGTGTCTGATAAAATCCATTTTGCATATATTGTGATGAAAACTTCTGGAATTGCTTTATATATGTTTTCATATGCTTTTGTTTTGTCTTTCAGCTTGTGATGAATGGAAGATTTTACCAAAACCTAATCTGCATCGAGATGTCAACAGATTTGGTCACTCTGCTGTTGTCAGTAATGGGTAAATGAAGTGTATTTTAAATTTTTCCTGAATATTTTTCTGACTGAAAAAACTGTGGCAGAAATTATACCTATGTGAAGTATGGTTCAATGACATAAAACTGATGTAATTTATTAATGTGAAAAGTAGTGCTCATCAGGGACTTTACTTGTCTTAGGTAATCAGTACAGCTAATGATCAATTTGATATGCTGTGGAATCTGTTCAATGGCATTTTCTATGAACCTTCTAGTGTACTGAGGTGTTTCCTCAGTATTGTGAAGTAGACTGAATTTGAAATTCAGTACCTTCTGTAGTCCTCACTTTAAATGTAATGAGAGAAATATTTTTTATCTTTGCAGCATGCTATAATTCCTTGTTCTTCTACAATCATAAAATCAAAAACATGTGGCGAAGATTTGCTTGGAAAAAAGCAAGATTCTGAACCTACTGATACAGTGATCATCATTAACGACTTGCAGGAAAAAAGCCTGCCAGAATCTAGACTATATAGAATCATAGAATAGTTTGCGTTGGAAGGGACCTTTAAAGGTCATCTAGTCCAACCCCCAAATTAAGTATATTTCTTATCCTCTCGAAAATGTAGCACACTTTCATGTAATTTGTGAGTAGAGGAGCTCAGAGCTCTCATTGTCTAGAAACGGGAGATGGAGTGGACCTGGTGTTTGCTGGATTTGGTGGCTGAAGTCACTGCTGAGCCCCAGTCTCCAAAGATAAAACTGTAGGACGTATGTCTTCTTTTTGGTGGAAAAGTTGTAGAAAACTGTAGTCAGGTTTAAAGAAATTTCTACTGTTTTCTTGTGTGAGTTTTACTATTGCTGGTTGCCAAATGGCCTAATACCCAACAGCTGCAGTACTACAGATCATTGTACTACTGATCATTCCTCTTCTACATTATTCATCGTGCTAATAAACTCAGTATTTAAGTATATGCGGGCAACTTACAGATCCTCTATATATGGGTATTATATAGGCCAGATGTAATGGAGTAATTATATCTATAAAATAATAAGAAATAGAGGTTTGATTTAAAAAAAAAAGCAGTAAGTAGTAACTCTGTACACAGAGCACTTGAAATTAATCAATGAACCCTTCATTAAGAGAAAATTGCTTCGAATTAATGAATTCAACGACTGATAGTTTTTCGTTCTGATTTGTGTTATTTTAAGACATCTAAGCTATGTCTGATAATTAGAGAACTGTTACTTTCAATGAATTAGATTCAAGGTGAAAAAGCCTTTTTTATTCCCCCCCCCTAGACTAGATCTCTAGTCTAGTCTTCCAGTTTTGCTG